AAGCAGAACTTGTTAATAGTTCACTAATTGGCATAGGAACATGATGAAAATAGACAAGTACTTAGGAATAAGGAGGAAGATTTACATTTGGAAGCAGCAAAAGCGATGACACACTGCCCTCAGCCACTTCTACTTGTTCAAAGATCTCCAGCTTTGACATTTGGGAGGTATTACAGAATACCCAGAAGGAACAGGCTGTGCTGCTTTACAAGATACAGGCACCTATGACCCACAAATCAGAGGCTTAAATATGCAGAGCATAATGCATATTGGTTTTATTGTTAATGGGCCAAGAGGCTCTGCATCAGAACATGACAAAAAAAAGAAAGTTGCAAGAGATGTGACATCCAGAGACATCTCAAGTTGATCTGACAATTCGTACTTGCCAGGAAATTAATGAAAAATCCCCTCTTCTGAAAGAAAATATACTTTGTCTGAAGATTTCCTCCATTCCTCAGTGCCCCATCCAATCCTCTTCCTCTGAAAGGAGGGTTAACACAATGAAAAGGGCAGGTGACACCATTTCCCTGAAAGTCATAACTTGGTAGTTTACCACTTAAGAGTGTGACTGCCCCAAAGCCCACATGACAGCAGAGGTGTAAACTGTAGCAGCAGCATAGAGCCAGAAAAGAACCAACAACAAAAAAGTGCAAGGAAGGAGACTCTGCAAGTGGTTTAGGTAAATCATCTGGATTTCCTACCTGCAGAACGACAAAAACTCAGGATTTAATATAAAAGTTGTAAAGATTAAATATTTTCTCTGATCAATGTGCAAAAAATTTACTGCCTAGATATCATTGAAATTGCCATCTCAAGAGCTGTTGTGGGTAATTACATTCAACCACTGTATGAAGCTGAAAAAAGAATAAAATGTGGGAAATAAACTTTGATGATATTTTAGTGCATATTTCAGCATAACCATAACAATCAAATTGTCATTCATCTTAATTAATATCTAATGGTGAATTAAGAGATTTGCTTTTTGCAATTAGCAAGGGAAAAAAAATTCTGATACTTTTTGCTTCTTTCTTCCATACAATCAATGTCCTTGTTCATAGTACAAAAAAATTTTACTTCAATGCAATTTCACTGAAAAAAGAGTTATAGGTAAATTTACTAAACTGGATAGTCTTTTGTCTAGGTTATGAATTCAGAGAGCTAGATAAAGAAACTACTACCAAATGCCTCACTGGCTCCTGTGTTTCAAAAGATTAACCGTTCAGAAATCAATTTTTAAAGTGAAAGGAGTCGAATGAACTTGGTGACATTGCTCATCTCCTTCATTATTTTCCCACTTGTTATCTAATGTATTGTAGAAATTACTGCAGAGGAAAGCAATTTTAGGTTTTGTCCTGATCGTGCCTTGTTCAACCATGACAATTCAGCAATTTGCACAAAAGGAAGTAGAGGAAAAATTCTGGTTTATATAAAATTTTAGAAATATCAGCTTTGTCACTGGTACTGTGACACATTTGCATCCGCAGTTATTTTTCCATTCTGTCAGTAGGGGAATGAGTTTTGCTCCTACTGGTCAGAATAAATGACTTTCCACAAGAGATCACCTCTTTCCACAATGTCCAGGCTGGTTATACAAAAAGTGGTGCAATGTCAGCAGACCAGATAGAAACTGCATTTTGTCTTCTGTTAACCTCAAAACATACTCAAAATCTCCACTGACTTCCTTGTCACTTTGCCACTGTATGCATGAGAGCAGAAAGGAAAAAAAATCATCAGTAAGAAGAATATACTGTAGGGTGTAATCAGGGAAGCATGAGAAGTCTTTTTAAGTGACATAAAAGGCAATTATTAGGAGGAAGGAACACAGAAAATTGTGCTATTCCCAAGTACATACAGTCCGGTAACAGAAGTGCTGATGTCTCACTATGTCTTATTAAGTCATCACAAATCACTGTATCGAGTAACAACACAAGAAACATTGGGTTCACCACACTTTTGTGACTGCAGTATGCTGTTCTCAGGCTGCTCTGCCCCAGGAAAGAACCATGCGGGTATTGTACAGTAAAGCTGCCAAGCAGACAGAGAATCAACTAGCAGAACTTTATTAGAGTACATCTGGTGAGTTATTCAAATTCAGTCCAGATACTAACAGAGCAGCAAAGAAACACTGCATTTAAACCCACAATGCATATTATTTATTAATTATATATTTGCAGACGTTAATAAGCTTTATGTGTATGCAACTTACCTTCTGAAATTAGGCAGAGATATTCAGGTATAGCAAATGTTCTGTTATTCATGTCCAGCAGATAAAAGCTACTTCACACTGTTGGAAGATGATGACTCCAGCATAACAGCTCTAATTAAAAGTCCAAAGCTAATACAGCTGAGCCCTACCTCTCTTCAGTAGTCCATTGCAAATTATTTCGGAACAGGACATGGGTTTTTGTTTCATATGAATCAATCCTACATTTCTATTACCCCCTTGTCATACAGAATACACAAGCTGTCCTGCTTTGTGGGAGATGAAACAAAATGAGAAGTCACAACTTTAAAATTTTTCCCAGGCTTTCCACATATGTTAGTTCCGAGGGAGCACTCAACATTGCAAAGGCATATCCAACTCAGAGTACAGTCTGTGAAACACTGTATTTGGAAATGGAGTTTTCTTGTGCATAGTGCAAACGCATCACTCATATGCCATGAGATATAACAAATAACTATGATGACAAAACATTAGAAGATAACCCCACAAAGCAGAACATTTACATAGGTATAATTTACAGCAGAATTTAGTCTCAGGAATTATAATGTCATTAACCTAGACATTGAGCATAACATCTGTCTTCTGTGGCAATCAGACTTCTACACAAGAAATACAATTCTCATAAAGTATCCTACTGACATACATTGAATAAACAATACTGTTAAACACAGTACTGTTTATTCAATGACCTTCAAAAAGCATCATTTGCATGCACATGATAAACTGAAAGAGTCAAGTCATAATTTATTTAGTCATGGTCATATGTTATGCTACTAGAGCTTACTGAGGTCTCATCAACAAAACAATCATTTGTCTGAAAAACACTGCCCATATTTCAAATATAGAAGTTATGACAAAACCTATTATTGTGGAAGGACTTTCAGGTTCTCATTTCTACTTGACTTAGAAAAGGAATCTCAAACAGGGTCTCAGTTCAAAGTGCAGGGGGGATGGTTACTCAGACATTCAGTTCTAATTCAGTTCTAACTTCTAGCAAGAAATATTTAATATTGGTCTCTCTTTCCTTTATAATATTCAGTTTAAAAAATCTAAACTTGGTCACATGGGAAAAATCACTTCCTTATGCTCTACCCTACATTATCCGCTCAGTGGAGAGCTACTTTTGATGATACTCGAAGATCTACCAGATTTGAAAATCCTCGAGTTTCAGATAATCCCCCAAAATAGTTGCACTTTGAAAGAAAGAACAAGATAGTCAATCAGCTATTTTCTGACTGCAAATGGGTGCAGCTACACATGACACAGGGATACTTTTAAGGAGGAAATAAGAAATATGCTGCTATACTGCTAGTTTGAGCCTCTCCAGAATATAAATGCTGAGGCATAATTGAAGCTCTTTGATACTAATTTCAGCATTGCTTAATTACTAATGCTTTCATTATCATGGATTAAAGTGGAAAAATGAACTGCAGAAAAACACTTTCTATCATTAGCAAACTTGTTGTGCTAATAATAACGATAACACAATTTCTCCTTAACCAAAGATAGCAATGACATTAGATTGTGTTTATTTGATTTTATAAAGAATGCATTTTTGGATAACCATATTGCACCTTTAATCAATTAGAAAATCAATCTTTCTTTATGCATTTCCACAGCTCCTACTCACAGTAGTAGTATTTTTCCCTAAACCTGAATACCAAACAGTGCCAAAACTTGTAGTCCTGCCATTTAAAGACAAAATTAATTATGTTATTCAATGTTATGGGGACGTTGTTTGTTTTATTGTTTTATTTTTATGGAAATGAGCAACATCTCAAAAACAGAAAAGCACTCACATCCAACATACCTTGGCAACATATCAATGTTATTCCCCACTCTTAAACCCAGGACAAAGCACAGATTATTATAATAATAATATGAAGTTCTATCTAAGGGTTATTGTTTTGCATATCCTTCTGCAGGTGGGGCAGGAAGCAACTCATGGCACAAAGTATTGAGCAACATGTGTGATCTGGAGAAAGTAAGTCTGAAAGTCCTAAGTACATGATATTAAGACAATCATTTCTCTGACAGAAACAGATAGAACAATGCAATACAGCTCTACACATGGTACAGCAACGTTGAGTACTACCTGTTATGAAACTAAGAAAATTACAACATAGTAATCTGTATTTTCTTGTCAGGGACCATCATTTGCTTCTACTATCTAATCTGCTTTAATACACAAAACCACAAATGTGTTTTTCTTTGAGGTTCACAATTCATTCTGATGATAGGAAAATAATGTCACCTACTGCAAAATGCTCAAAGCTGCCAATGAAGTCAATTACAATCAAAATAACCTTTGTTCCATCTCTGTTTGACTCCGGTCAAGCTAAAGTGAAATGAATTTGGAAATGTATTTGTTCTGTGTAATGTATTTGTTTCAATTTATTTCACAGCCACCTTACATTCATTAAAAGCAAACACACCCCTAACAAGTATAACCTTTCTAGTAGACTGAAATATGGAATATCACTGATTATGCTGAAAACCATCAAAATGCAAATGAAATGAGAAAGAATGTGAATAAACATCATCATGTAAACAAAATATAAAACAGAACACAGATAGCACACATTTAGCTATTTGCCAGATGCTCATGCTAGGGCTGACCTCAAGCACTCTGAAGTCACCAAAAGCCTTTGCCTTAACTTCAAAGAATTTGTTATCTGAATAAAAAGCATTTAAACTCATATATATTGATGTTAGTGCACATTGCTGCAATTCTCAGATTAAAACATGGCAAAGGTACATATATTATAATGCTTACCATTATCACTTTTGAGATTTCCATTGCTTAGCTGTTTTAACCTCTTCTGATGGGATTTGCCATTGTAGTGGATTTGTGCCTGAGCAGCGGAGTTCAGCTGAATGTTACAAACACTACACAAAGTGAAATTGGTGTGTTTCTTTTCTCTCTCCTTCTTTTCTTCGGTGCCCTCAGGTGCTAAATCTTTCTCACCTTCCCTGCCTGGGATAGATGAGAAATCTGAATTGTATGACTGGTTATCAACTGGTAAATCGGGGCTCCATGGCTTCTTCATATTTTCTGGGATGGGAAAAAACATAAGAGAGAAAATTGATGAGTAATATAAAATAATACACACAAGATAGCTATGTCTGCAAACCACTAAAAGGCAGAAAATATTTTTTTGCATTTTATATTACAACACTATATTTCCACTCACATATTTTGCTTTCCGTACATGTTTTTTGTTCTGCTATGTAACTTAACTTCACAGCCACGTGCCCAAACCTGAGCCCATCAGGCATGGGTCTGGTCCCTCTGTGATAAATTATTTAAGAAAGGCTAAAACCACAGTGCAGCAGCTGAAAAAATGTGACAGAAACAGTCCTGCAGCCAGTGGAAAAAAAAGGGGGAGGAGGTACAATTGACAGAAGAAAAAATACCCTCCCTTATATATTAGTTCAGTAAGCTTAAATGCACAGACCTCACCCTTGAATTTATTATTTAGCAACCCCAGTCACCTCCTCTCCACTTCCTATGAATACTTTCAAGCACAAATCTAATAATTTCATAATTTTTCTCATTTAAAGTAGTTCAAAGACAAATAAACATGTTCTATTAGTTTCTTATCTTAGCCTCCCAGGGTTATAATTGAAGGATAGTTAACATAGATTCAGCTAATACCAGACAGTAACGACTACAGAAATGAGAAGATAATCCCATCTGCAGAACTTCAAGTGAAACCAATGTAAACAAGAGCTTCTGTGATTAAAAGTGAGCAGAAATGACACAGGGGAAGGAATGCTCTGCACACTGCAAACCTAATTTACTATTCAAGGAGTGCAAAATGTTATACCAACTTAGCATTTTGATGAGACCTTTCTATACCATATAAATGTTTAAAGTGCTTGTTCTCCTAGACTTAGTGAATAAATGAAGGTCTAGACGAAGAATCTAATCTATACTTCGAGGGAAAAAATTACTGCAGCCTTAAATAGGATGATACTATTTGGTGTCTAACTGAAAAATCAGTCAACCTAGAAACAAAAAAGATTTTTAAAGCAATGCAAGAAAATGGGCTACAGATGTCTTTTAAATACCAGATCCAGACAAGGTTCAGCATAAAAAAAACAAGTCTAAACAAGCCTTCAGATTTGGGTCTGATAACACCAAAATACTGCAAATCATTCTTCAGATAGCTTCAAATGTTTTAAATTTCATCAACTAAACTTTTTGCCAGACCTTCCAAGGATTTAAAGACACTTATTGCTTTCTGATCAAATCATAAAGACAACTTTATCTAAAGATTCAAATATAAAATCTTTCAATGCTCAAATCAGTTTCAATTTCAGTTTTCTGATTTGTTTGCTATCTAATTAACATTGTGCTCTTTTATGCTAACTAAAGCCCACTTCATTTAAGAAAGTACAGACACAGGTCTGAGAGGAGCTCTGCATTTGCTGTAGATTAAAACTCACTCCACTAGTTCTGTCAGTATTATTTCAGCTTTTGTGTAGAGTCAACTCTTATCTAGGATTGTAGCTGTTGAAAGCAAGCGGTGAGAAAGCAGGCTAAATAATTCTTTCCAAAGCAAAATTAAAGAGGAAAAGAAAATCAGCATAAAAGTAGTTATTTATGAAAAGTAAGGTTATTATACCAACAGTGATGACAAGAACTTTTACAGACAAATCAAAACTGTCCCCTATGAGACTGTGGAAGCTTAGCAGAAAACCTGAGTTTTTTCAATAGCAGATCTATAACATATTTTTCCTAATGGAAGGAGGAGGTTTCTCCTGAGGAAGTATCATCAGTCTACCAACCTCTCAGCCTTCTGGAGTTTGCTGGGGATACTGTTCACGCCAAAGATTCATCTGTCTAAAATATTTTTAAATTAATAAATTCAGTCTTTAATCAAAGCAGTACAAGAACTAAAATGCTAACACAATAGCACTAGTTTTACTGAATTGCTCTAGATGACAGTAACTTTTCAGTAATCCCAGTTTATATACATGCTGTACATTAATATATATATAATCTTTTGCATTGAAAGCATTCCCCACTAGAGAGCAGTATGAATTAAAAATTACAATATATCTCTAGACCTATAGTGCTAACCATATAGACATGAGATTACTGCAATAAAACAGATTTTCCAACCAAAACATAAAACTTTGTAAGCAAATATAATCTAGTAAAGTAAACACTGTACACTATCTGCACATATGTCTAATTCCTTTTGAAACGTTTACACAGATAGGCTGGGAGCTTAATAAAGTGAATTAGCATGTTATAACATCCCTCTAATATTCCAGTCAACACAGTCTAATCCATGAGAATCTTATTTTTGGCATATAGCATCTGTCTTGCATTCTAATCTCATTCCAGAAAACAAATTACAAAATGCACACTTGACAAAGGCACAATAAAATGATAACAGAAATTCTACTGTGGAAAAAAGTGATTTGAGCATCTACCACGTGCTTTCATTAGAAAGCTGTGATGGCATTAAAGCTGCAAAACTGAGTCTAGGTAACAATTAGGAAAACAGAAGTTTTGGAAATACATTTTATACTACAGTCCGTTTCCTTTACAGATATACAGTGATTTCTGAATATATGATGGAACTGCTAAAGGACTAAGGTGAAATATTACACAGCTGCGCAAATCACTTGCTGTAAATTTAACATTACACAGCAGTAATCAGTATCTTGATTGGACACAAACTGATTGGTTTGAGAAAAAAAAATTCCAAACATGAAGACAAAAAAAATTTGTAAAACCAGAAATAGTTTAGGATTAAAACATCCCGAGTAATTTTTACAATATTTCTTAATGGACAAGTACATAAAGATATCAAGGGATAAGGAAGGGGAAGATATCTAACTTGCTGACATACTTTTAAAATACAATTTAGCACTCCAACTATTATTTTTAAAGAAATGCGGGAAAAAATAAATCAAATTCATAAAATCTTCTAAAGATCCACCACTGTTTAAACCAACGTGGATGCAGTCTACTTCACGAGAGCAGCAGGTGTTCAGCTCATGCATGCATCATTGCATACTTCTGTTTTCTGGAATGAAATGTTTAGGCGGCAATTTTGATTGATGAAGACAAGGAAAAAATGCTTAGTTTATCCTACTGGAAAATTGCACTGTATGTGTTTAAAAGAAAACATTATAATCTTCATTTGAAAAGCAATTTTTAATTGCTGTCAGTGTCTTATTGGTTTGATCCTACATGAAAATAGATAGGCTTTAAATGAAAATCCTCTTTCCCTGCCATCGTATTATAGAGTTCATCTTGACTGTACTGGCTATGTATCTTAAAATCTTAAGTTTTGCAGATAACCTTTTCCCCCCCCTAAAAGAAAGATAGCTTCTCAATTTTAGGGGCCCTAATGAAGCCTGCAGTGAACTAGAAATGAGACCAAGATCTCAAAATTCCAAGCCAATTTAAATAGCACTCTGGATAAATGCCTACATTTATTTTCCCTGGGGCTCTGAACTCAATTTTGGCTCAATGTTGCTTACCAGTAAAATGAACTTTGCACGACATTATAGCTTTGTGAAGTAGAAAACTGTCCCATGTGGAAAACCAACACAGCTCAAATTTGTGGTGTTTGCTGGCTTAGATAACAAAGCTACTGCCTGGGGATTTCTCTTCTTAAATGTGCTTGAATGTAAGGGATTAGAAATCCCATCCTTCCCATGAAACAATCCTTACCTTTTTAGCTGCAAACCAATGGCATGCTTTCTATTCAAGAGTATTGAAAGGAAAATTTGCTCATTTGTATCACAACTAATTGTTCTGTTACCAAACTACCTTACCATCATAGAACTATACCAGTCACTGTGACTTTGACTCTGTGTACGTAATACTCAAATGTGTTGGGTACATTCAGGAGGCCAACAGAGGATATGAATCCCAGAGTAAGAGACCACAATGTACTTAAGTCAGCTGCATTGAATGCAGACCTCTTGTCATGGATGAATGACCCAGTTTAGCTTGGAGAAGAGAAGGCTTCAGGGGAACCTTGGAGAAAACTTCCAGTACCTGAAGGGGGGCTTACAAGGAGGCTCGAGAGGGACTTTTCACAAGAGCCTGTAGTGACAGGAAAGGGGGGAATGGCCTTAAACTGAAGTAGCATACTTTTAAATTAGATATTGGGGAAGATTTCCTGTGGTGTGGTGAGGCACTGGAACAGGTTGCCCAGAAAGACTGTGGACTCCCCATCCCTGGAGACGTTCAAGGCCAGGCTGGTTCAGGCTTTGCTTAACTTGGTCTAATGAAAGGTTTCCTGCCTATGGAAGGAGGGTTGCAACTAGGTGATCTTTAGGATTCCTTCCAACCCAAATCTTCCTATGATTCTGCAGATCTTAAAGAATATCTCCTTGTCTACTTCCCAACAGGTTGCTACAACAAATACATTCCTGTACAAGATGAAGGATAGAAAATATGGACAGGGTATTAAGGACAAAAGTTCACTAATTACAATATTCAGGAATTTTTAATATTTCTTTTCAAAACTGTGAAAAACATTTAAGTAGCAATCATCAAAGATGCAGATGTTTGCATTTCAGCTACTCATCCCTAGACTCTGCAATTACTGCAGAGTCACCAAGAAGGCCTATGGAGAGTCATCTCACTACGACACAGACTAAATCATAAACTGGAGTGTTTTTTCTCAGAAACATGTATTCCTCTTCCTTTGCAGATGTCTGTGCTGTAGATGTAAAGTTAGACAGGATGAATCTTGCTCTGCCTGTCATAATAGCTCTCCAAACGTTAAAAGGACTGAATTTTGCAGGTAATAATGATAATACTCAGTTTCGAGATATCAACTGATAACAACAGATATCAGCTGCTTTGAAGAAAATGTTGTTAGTGCAATGTTTAAAAAAGAAAAAGAAAAAAAAAAAGAGAAAAAGAGAGAAAGATTGATCACTTATCAACATCCTCTCTCCAATCATCATCTAGTCAGTTTTCACATATTAGGGGAACGTTACTGGCATGCTACACAAAAAAGCACCTCCAGTAACAACTGGACTCTTCATATCTTTTCAAACATCATAAATTTG